TCCAAAGGCGCTAGAGTCAACTAAATCCATAAGGAAAGGTCATGAAAATTTGATATAGCATTGTTGTAGGAAAGTTAAAAATGACTCCAGAACATGAAAACAGATTGAACTAAAAATCTTGATACTGCGAACCAAAGAAAATAGAAAAAACATAAACAAGTAGAAATACTACATGACTTTAATTTTCCAATTGATAGTAGAGAAGATCAACATTTCAAGTGTTAAATATAAAATCCGGAAACCAAGAAAGCAGCAATAGGAAAACATCCAGTAAATGAACTTTGCAGGACTAAAAGATGTAACAAACCCAGATCACAAGAACCAAGTCATATATTAGACAAAGGATACATATAACTAAACCTATAAACAACATTAGGTTCAGAAACAATTATTTGATTAGCATATAGTATATATTTTTCCTAGTTTTCCTTCCAACCAAACAGCACTGTAATGAGGTTGGAGAAAGAGATGAAGAATCATAATCTTTTGAGTAGTTTGAAAAAATCCATCAAGGAATTCAAGGTCAAGAAACAATTTAACTTAAAATTTCCAAACAAAAGTCAGAAAATGAAAGCAAGTTTAGAGATGAAAAGAAGCAAACTTTTTCTCTTTTTTTTTTTTTGGAAAAAGAAAGAAACACCTTGTCTTTCTCAATCTGTTCCTTGAGAGAAAGAAGAGGACCAGGAACAAAACCAGCCAAAGCTCCAGCACCATCTTCCTTATCATCATCTTCTTCATCTTCTTCACGATCATCACAAACTTCAACAGACAATGGTTTCTCACTCATCTCCCTTAGTTCTCTCTCTTGCTTCTCCTCACTCACACCTGTTGATGGCCCAGCTTCTGCTCTCTTCCCACTCTCCATCTCTCTCTTGCTACAGTGAACAAAGCACACAAAACTCAAAAGGGTACAAAAATAACAAAACCCTTTTCAAGTTTTTGAAGAAACAAAAAAAGAAAGGGCAAAATTTCAAAGAAGCAGAATTAGAAATTCAAAAGGCACAGTGAGAAAGAAAGAAAAAAAGATTATACCCTCTTTTGCAGTGAGGCAAAAAGTCAGACGCGTCCCTATCTTGTAACTCACTTTTCATAAGTTTATTTCTTACAAAGAGTGAGTGTGTTTGTTTATTTGTCTATATGTTGTGTCCGAATTTTCCAAAGTCTTTGTCTGTCGGTGTAAACCTGGACACTGTAACTGTTAAAAATAGGTTGATTTTTATAGCATATAAAAGAATAAATAATATTATTATAATAATATTTATTTTTAGTATCCAAAAAATAAAATTATAAATATTAAGGTTTAAATTTCAAATATATTAATATAATATTTTTAAAATAATTATATTAATTAATTAATTTTAAATTTATTATAATAAATTTTAACAAAAAATTAAATTTCAAACTTGAAACATATCCGAGGCTAATGGGGCGGTCTGTTTCTTTATAAGGTAGTACACTTTTTCTTAGTATTTTAAGAAATACAATTACATTTAATGTTATTATTAGTCTTGATTGGGTAATTTTTATTTAATGAATTACTATATTTGAAATGTATTAAATACTAACTGCCATAGTTATTGTGTCTTAATGGAATTTATTAGAACATTCATTAAGAAAAAAAAGTTTTGATGCTCAGGCGTTATTACATTATCCATCAATTAAGCTTTTATAGGTAAACCCACCTGAATCTCGATTAGAAAAGAAATCTCTTCAAAATTTTGGAAAGACGTATGCTTGGTATAATTCAAAAGTGGAAAGATGATAAGGAGTGGATGAAGAAATAAAAAGAAAATGAAATTTAAGTATATTTGGTAAAAAAGAAAAATGAGAGAAAATAAAATATAAAGGATTATTATTTACATATTCATTATAAAAAATAAATCACTCTAATTTAAAAAAAAGGGAAAATAGAAATGTAAGAGTATGTATTACATATTTATTAAATTGAGTTGAGTTATATTAGAATTTACTTTTTTCATCGTTGATTACAAAAGATTTAAATTATAAAATCATTATAATTTTTTTTTAAATTTTCAACTTTATTCAAGTAATGGAATAAATTTTTTTTCCTTTTCAAATTTCTTTTTTATCTTTTCCAACCGAAAGCAGCACTAATGGGAGAAGATTAAAATGTGGTTTGGCCATCTTTCCGCTTTTCTTTTCTTTCAATTTTCCATGTTTTCGTTTTTTTTCCAACTTACTAAGTAAAGCCTTAATATATGACTAACATATTTTGAAATCAAATCTTAACAGCTGAAACATTTTTTTTATATTACGATTTTGACCCTTTTATAAAAAAAATATTAATATTATAAATAATTTTTAAATTATAACGAAATATAATACTTAAATTTTAAAATTTTTTTAATGTAATATGTGAATTATAAATTTATTAATTAATATAATATTTTAAAAATTATTTTTTATCACGCGTAATCAAAAATAAATATCATATTAATTAATAAATTTATAATTCATATATTACATAAACATTTTAAAATTTAAATATTATATTAAATATTTTATTGTAATTTAACAACTATTCACGACATTAATCTTTAAAAAAAAAAAATCAAAAGGCATTGTAGTAATGATTAGTCTATACCCAGCCAAAGAAGTTTATTAGTCACTTAGCAAGTTATAAATCTTTATTCCACAAAATAAATAAAATAAAGAAACCATGTAGCAATTATTATAAGAACCAAGAATAATTCAGTTAAGGAAATAATTTAAGTGGAGATTTTTAGATAAATTACTTTGTGAAATTATTTTATAATCATAGTAATTGACTTGATTATAATCTAAAAAAATGTGAGAATCTTATGAGCCCTTTATGAAATTTTTAACATTTCAGCCACAAGTGCAAAAAAATAAATTTTCA